GTCTTTAAAACCCCGCACGGAGTCCATGTACATCCTGAAAAGTCTCTTCGACTGTTTCAGGGAAACTCAGCTATGCTTTCCTCCCCGGGACTGGTGCTGCAGATGGAAGACTCTAAAGAAGAGGGGTATAGTCGCCCCAATCCTCAGAAAACGACAGGTCAGCTCAAACGCCCGGATAAAGGCGAACAAATTTGGATGTAGCTGCGACGGGGCCAGCCCCAAATGGCTAAAGACCCCGACCTGAAAGTCGCTGAAGGGCAGCTGCAACCCAAGGTCTTTGAATGCAATTTCATACATGGGGAAGCTGTACTCGGGGAACACCGAGCAAATCCGAGCAGTGAAGGTCGGTCTAGTAACGACGAAATTCTTTTGAAAACCGGGCTGGTCGTGGCCCGCCTCAAGGACAGCGTATGGCCTTCGGCTGCTCCGACTATAGACCGAGGCGATTCCTCTAGGCTCGGCACCCACCCAGTCCAACAGAGGGTCCTCTACGGTGTCGACCAAACTCATAGCCTCATCGGCACTTTGTTCTTCCCTTTCGGGGCGTCCTGAAGAGCACGGTTCGTCCGCCATGGTTACCTACAGAGCACAGGAAACCAGTCAATTGGGCATGAAACCATACGCTCATCATAACGGACAAGATGAAGCGCGCGACAAAACCACGTCGCTCCACGCGCGACCACAGAGTTGGTTTGAAACAAAAATAGCAGTCGCCTCCCCGGCTTCCAGATACCTCGACGGGTCCTTCTACAAGCCGCCTAAATAAACCGACAACGCGGTCACTCGTGAATACGTCGACCCGGGGTATGAACATGTCGAGCAACATCATAAAGCCTAAAGCTAGAGCTATGAGTATACCGGGCACGATCACGAATTAGGTGCCCTGGATCATGAAGACCCCGGGCAGCACTGTAGACTATAACCTAAACTATGTATCTACCGGCCACGAACATGTGTTTGCCGACCTCATGCATGAATTTGTCGGGTTGAACATAAGTTTTCTGGGCTAGTCTCACGCGCACAGCCTCTAAAAAACGTCTAAAACGATGAAAATCATGCATCACAACAGAAAAACAGAGAAGATAAGTCACTTACTTGGAATCAAGGAGTAAATTTGGCGACAGAGGAAAGGAATCGGTGACGGAGATCGCGGCGATGCTATGAGAATCTGGGGAGAACAACAGCAGCAAAAACAGAGCAAAGAGGAGAAGCGCGAAGAGTAGTAACACGCTCTGGGGCCCAAGGATCCTATTTATAGTGATGACGTGGAATACCAAACGTCACCTCGGGCAGCCACGGATTCCCCTCCTCGACGTGCAGCTCCCCTAGGCAATGATGACCCTATCCTCATAGGGTGGCGGCACAGTTCCCAAAAGATACCTCGCGTGCTCGACAGACGCATACTATTGAGGAATCCCCGAGCATTCCTCGCGGGGGACCTGTCCCCGAGCACGATACGGGGAAACCCTCGAGTACCCCCACGAGGAGCTGCGTCTCTTGCCCGAGCACGAGGCCCCGAAACGGAAGCAACCTAAGATCAAGCCATGGCTCCTAACCCAAGGAACCACGACTTGGGGGGCTCCTGTTCTGGACTGGGCCCGGCTGGCCCAATAGCAACGATAAAGGCCCAATCCAATCGGACTTGCTAGGGGTCACGCCGACCTAAGGACCATAGCTATGCCCGACACACGTCACTGGGCGACACCCCTGTCCTCGGATTGTCCAGCTCGACATCAGCTCGAGCGCTCCTTCGCCAGTAGACACGACCCACTGCACTCCCAACAGGACTCCGAAAAGACCGCGTCTCTGTCCGCCCGCACTTCACGCAGAACATCCAGGGAGGGGACCACGTGCAGGTCCCCACTACGCACGTAGAACCTGGCAGTTCCTCCATTGGGCCAAACCTGCCCAGCCCAATGAAGGAACCTTGGCCCAGCGCTGGGGGCTATAAATACCCTTTGTTTCCAGAGGGTCAGGTATTCAATCTATCACATATACTCACACTTTTGCCTGCTCGTACTCTTACTTACTTCAGCATCGGAGTGCCTTGCAGGTACCCCCCCCCCCCACCTCGTTCAAAAACTTCAGCTCGGAGCCAGCTGTGACGGTCCAAGTCTGATCAAATGTTGTACTCGTTAAAAAGAATAATGCAAAATGGAGGATGTGCGTTGATTATACCGATCTCAACCGGGCTTGCCCGAAAGATGCTTTTCCTTTGCCTAACATAGATATGCTGGTCGACAACTCGGCCGGCTACAAAACGTTGTCGTTCATGGACGCCTACTCGGGCTATAACCAAATCCCAATGGCCCTGGGCGACAAGCACTGCACGGCATTCATGACCAGCTCGGGCAACTATTACTACAACGTAATGCCCTTCGGACTGAAAAATGCCGGGGCAACTTACCAGCGCATGATGAACAAAGTTTTCAACAAACAGATCGGCGACATGCTCGAGGTGTATATGGACGACATGATCGTCAAGTCCCGAGCAGACACCGACCACGCAGCACACCTCAAGACAGTCTTTGCCCAAGCAAGACAATGCAAAATGAGGTTCAACCCCGAGAAATGTACGTTCGGGGTTAAGGCAGGAAAATTCCTTGGATTCTATCTAACAGAACGGGGAATCGAAGCCAACCCCGACAAATGCCGCGCGTTCTCCGACCTCCCAACACCAACGTCGAAGAAGTCGATACAAATCATGAACGGCATGCTCACGTCGCTATCCTGCTTCGTCGCGAGATCCGCTCAGCACGCCCTCCCCTTCTTCAAACTCCTTCGAAAGGAAGCAGCCTTCGAATGGAATGAGGAATGCGAGCAGGCACTACGCCACCTAAAGCAAAGCCTATCTCAGCCGCCCGTGCTATCCGAACCTGCTGACGGAGAGCCACTGTACTTGTACTTGGCTGTTTCGAACGAAGCCATCAGCGCGGCTCTCGTCCGCGAGACCCCCGACAGACAGAAACCCGTCTACTTCACGAGCAAAGCCTTACAGGTACCTCCACCATGTTCAAAAACTTCAGCTCGGAACCAGCTGTGACGGTCCAAGTCTGATCAGGTCAGATCAGTTATTTTTTAAAATTTTGTTTTATGTCATATTTTGCTCTATACAATTAACATGTTGAATTGATATCTGACACACATTATTTTTATTACAGGTCAAATGTTTGAGTTTATTTTTGAAAATTGATGTTACAAATCTAAGCTATTCCAAGATTACTTGTATCACATTTTGGAGTTTCATTTCAATTTTGCTTCTTATTTTGGATCTTTGACTTTCTTTGTCAAGTTTAACACTATATTATGTGTAATGACATTGCAAATTTTTGTTATAATATTTTGAATCACAATTATTCATTGCACATTTTTCCTTGAGATGTTATAGATTTTTCTAAAATAACATTATTAAGTTATCCGTGCAAGAGCACAAATATTCTACTAATTATATAAAGATGTGTTTGTTTTAAGGTTTGAAATTATATTCTTTAGAATGATAAATATTATTTCAACCTATATGTTTGGTATAAATTTTAATTCCTAAAAATTATTATAAAATTTGTTTAATTTAAAATAATAAAAATAGTAGAAAATGTGAATGTTAGTGGGAAGATATAATTAGTTAAATTTATTTTCGTGGAAATCTTATATTTCCACCTTTTAAATCTTGGAATAAATATAAAATAATCGTGCTTAAAAAAGACTACTTGAACTAAAAAATACTTTAGAATTATTTTTTTTAATTTGAATCAAATATGAGAATATTACATTCTCATAGTTATATTTATAAGAGAAAAAAATTTTAACTTGAAACACACTCTAAAAAAACTATAAAAAAAATGCCACTTTTTCATTTATATTATTTGAAAGAAAAGACATTTAACAAAATAAAAAATAGAGAAATCATATGATGTCCCTTTATTTTATTTCTTAATATTTTTCAAATTGTGGACTCTTTATGGTCTCTCAAGTCATAATTATAAGTAAAAATAATTACTTTAACATTATTTAAGAAAATTAATTAAATATGATTAATTTTATTGATTTCATATACAATTAAAAAAGTTATTATAATATTTTTAATTATATTTAATAAATCAACTAAAATATTAAATATTTTTAAATTAAATTTAAAATATATTTAATAACTTTTATTTATAATAGTGATCAAGATTTAAAATATTTTTTATTCATAATAATAATCAAATGAAATGAAAATTATATGAGATGAGAACGAAAAGGTGATATAAAAATATTGGTTTTTTTAAACAATAAATAAATAAATGTAAAGAGAATAGATATAACGATAAAGTTATGATATCACATTTGATTTCTAAAATTAAATGTTACAATATCATACTTTTTCATTTTATTCTTTCAAAATTTACAGACTCTCTTTTATAAAAATAAAAATAAAAAAAGACGAATTATATATATTTTTCAAATGATATAAGAATTAAAAATTAATTAAATATATTTTACAAAATGACCTTGCAAACACGTGTGATTCAGACACTTTAATAAAAGTTATGTTTCAATTAACTTTAAAATTTTCAAAGAATTAAATAGAAAACATGTTTAGATATATAATACTTTCTCCAATTTATTTTTAATTTCATTGAACAATCTATATCTGATTCTTGATAAATATAATAAAGAAACTTTTTAACCTTTACTCTTTTTAAGAATGCTATGGAATAGAATAACTTGAAACAAACGCCACATTCAGTGTATAATTTCCATTGTTAATTGTTTATAAAGTAACAGAGCCGTAGCTTGTTTGAGTACTTTACTTTAACATAAAACTTAAAAGCTTCACGAATCATAACTTGTAGCAAAAGTACAACAACGTGATAGCGTGAAATAACCGCTTCTCTGTCCCAATCAGTTTTTTAACATTAGAAACTGAAAAGCCAAGGCCATGCCTTGTTGGCTTCTCCCTATAACTGCTTAATTACTTGAACCGCACTTGCACATCATTTCTGTTTCATCAACCAACCATGGCATCTTCCAAAAGTTTGAAAATTGGCATTGTTGGGTTTGGTACATTTGGTCAATTTCTGGCAAATACAATGATCAAACAAGGCCATACTCTAACTGCTACTTCAAGAACAGATTACTCTCAACTCTGTCTCCAAATGGGTATCCATTTCTTCAGGTAAATAAACAAATAAACAACCTTGTCTAGAAAACATAAAAACCTATTTCATGATGCATGTATCGAACTCTGCAGGGATGTTACTGCATTACTTGAGGCTGACATGGATGTCATACTGTTATGCACATCTATTTCGTCGTTGTCCGAGGTTGTCGGGTCAATGCCACTCAATTGTCTGAAACGTCCGACGCTTTTTGTTGATGTTCTTTCGGTTAAAGAGCACCCGAGGAACCTTCTTTTAAGAGTAAGCAGTCATAGCAGTTTTGATTACTTGTTTCATTTGGATGATTGATCTGGTTTTTGTTTTGTGTGTTTAAGGTGCTGCCAGAGGAGTTAGACATACTCTGCACACACCCAATGTTTGGACCAGTGAGTGGGAAAAATGGCTGGCAAAATCTGACTTTCATGTATGACACAGTTCGAATAAAGGATGAAGCTACCTGCTCTAAATTTCTCCAAATTTTTGAAACTGAGGTAAGTTAATAGCTGTACTTAGAACTATAAGCTCAAGAAAATGTTAAATCATAGCTCTACAATCTCAACCAGTGGCGCAAGGATAAGGTGATAAACTTTATCTGGCCATTATCGAAAATAAACTTATAGGAAGTAATCTTCAATTCTTGTCTGGAGCAAGTTTGATCAGACTCTTTCACTCCCAAGTTTGGACCACAACTGCTTGGTTTCCAAAGAAAAAAAAAGGCGCAAAATTCAATTGTGAATGCCTAATATTATATGAATTGTATCCAAGGTAGATCAGTTTTGCAATATTGTGTGTTATTCTTCAGGGTTGCAAGATGGTAGAAATGTCATGTGAGGAACATGATAGGGCAGCTGCAAAGAGCCAATTTATCACACACACAATAGGCAGGTATGCAGCTTCCTACATAACTTCCTAACCAACCAGAGACAGACAAGCATCTATTTATACACTCACTGTAACTTTTTGGTGTCTTCTTTACAAGGACATTGGCAGAAATGGATATTAAATCTACACCTATTGACACCAAGGGCTTTCAGGCACTTGTTCAGTTGGTAAACAGTTCTTAGCATAATCTTCTAAAGCTCCCTCTTTTCTGTTTTAACCACAAAAAGATAAATTATATAGCATATGCTGTCATTTAACATAAAAATAATCGATTGCAGAAAGAACCCGTCATGGGATGCAGTTTTGATCTGTATAGTGGATTATTTGTGTACAACAGATTCGCCAGACAAGAGGTAAGGAACGGCCAGCAAAATGCTTATCTTCAAAAATATGTTGGTAAATCAAAAATAAAAATCTTGAAGCCTATAAACCAAGTAACTTGAGATAGACTCATGAATTACAAAATGTATGCAGCTGGAAAACCTTGAACATGCTCTACATAAAGTCAAAGAGCTGCTGGTCCAAAGGATGGATGAAGGACAGAACTCAGAAAGAACTGAAAGTTGATGCATGCTATGTTTTATGATGAAGACATATGGTCGAACTATTTATTTCAAATTGCCTCTTGTAATCCCTGCCATATAAATTACTTTCTCAGTTTTCTTGTTTCCATATCTAAGTTTGGCCACAAAACAGAAAGGAATGGTATATGTTCAATTACGTGTAACAAAGATGTTATGCATTCTCTTTCTTTACATATACATTGTTGGAGTAACCATATAATTTCCCTATTTATTTATTTATGATATTTACTTCTTACTTAAATTTGTATTCATCATTTTCTGTTTTTACACCACAATTGTCTAGTGTTGAAATTCCAAAAAATATATAGGATGCTCTAGAAATTTCGAAATGGAGGGAAATTGTACTTGAAGAAATGTATGAAAGTACCAAATGGTAAGAAGACTATGGAATGCAAATGAGTGTTTAACGTGAAATACAATTTAGATGAGTCAATTGAAAGATATAAAGTCTGGTTGGTTGTTAAAGATTTCACTCAAACCTATGGTATAGATTATTCAGAGACATTTGCTCTTGTTGTCAAGTTGAACATTGTAAGAATTCTCTTATCTAGATTGGCCTCTACATGAGTTGAATGTTAAAAATGTATTTTTTTTTCAATGGCAATTTGAATGAAGTATATATGGATATACCTCCTGGCTTTGAAAATAATTTTGGATTTAACGTATGCAAATTGGAGAAGTCTAGGTGAGTGGGTTCTTCCACTTATATATGTATTTTCCCGAAACACACCACTTATCTACCTAAAACCTTAAGGTGATAGGTGAGTGAGTTCTGCCACTTATATATGATCAAGTCTCCACCTTCTTATTCAATATGGGATTATTTTTCCATTTACTCACACTTGCATTATTATTCTAGCAATTTGCGGTACTAATAGTGTATTTTGATAATATTGTTCTTCCTGAAGATGATATAGATGAGGTGACTAGAGTAAAAGAGAACTAGCTGTCAAGTTTGAAATCAGAGACCTGAGATTCTTGAGACACTTTCTTGGTATGGAAGTTTCCCGATCAAAGAAGGGAATCATCGTTTCCCAACAAAAATATATTCTAGATCTCCTGGAAAAAAAAACTGGAATAAGTGTTTGTAGAACCATCAAATACTCCTATAAAACCTAATGCAAAACTTTAGAAAAAGAGGAAAGTTTTTGTAGACACTGGAATGTATCAAATATTGGTTGGTAAACTAACTTATTTGTCTCATACTAGATAGACTGGTCATTGTTTTCTCAATTAGTGTGGTAAGTCAATTTATACATTTTCCTTTTGAGAAATATCTCTAGTCTGTTTGTAGAATCCTAATGTATTTTAAAATTAATTCAAAAAATGGTTTATTTTATAAAACTAATAAAAAGAATTTCTTTATATTCACGAGTGTTGATTGGAAAGGATTTGTAATAGATCTAAGATCTATCTCTTAATATTGTACTTATGTTTGAGGTAGTCTTGTAACTTGGAGAAAAAGAAATAAGGTGTGGTGCAAGAAGTAATGAAAAGGCTAAATTTATAACTATGCCTCAAGATATTTGTGAAAGACTATAGATCCACATAGGTTTAGAATAACTCAAAGTAATAATTGAACTTCTGCTATAATTATATTCTTCCAATAAGTAAATCATCAGCATAACTTATAATTTAGTTCAACATGGTAGATCGTCACCATATAAAAAGAGAAATTAGATGTGGATCTCTATTAGCTGAGAATTTCAACGATCTAAAATGTTAAAGAAAAATGAAGAATGTTGAAAGAAAACTAACTTTAAAAGAAATATGAGAATATTTCGTAAGGGATTTCGACTGACCAAATTATGAACAGATTGATTATATTAAATAATTGTGAAAGTCTTATTGTTGCAAAATGTGTGAAGCGTTAAAGAAAATTCAAAGTTTTGAATCTGAATAGTTCGACGACATATTGATTGGTTTTGGCGCTTCAAATTGAAGAAGGATTTGAATTCAAATTATTTGATCTTATCCAGAAGGACGCGTGAAAGTCTGAAGATTTGAAGAGCATACAGATGTTGAACGTGACACTCTTATAGAGAAAGACTGTTATGGTCGAATTAGTATAAATTAGGACTTTTATGTTAGATTTTAGTGTGTTCATTTTTTGTACAAATTACTCAAATATACTCGAAGTATCAATTGTTAGAGAAAAGAGTTACTAAGAAATGTACATATTGAAACATCAGTTTATATTCAAAGTCATTTACTTTTAAATCAAGTCTTTTAGGTTTTGTTTTAAGTTTAAGTCAAATTCAAGTTTTTATCTTCAAACTTTGTTTACCTTTATCTTGCCACCTTTTAGGTTTTGTTTTAAGTTTAAGTCAAATTCAAGTTTTTATCTTCAAACTTTGTTTACCTTTATCTTGCCACCTTTGTTTTATCTTTACTTTCCTATCATCATTTCGTTTAGTTTTATAAACACTTATCAATTAGCCAATTACTGTCGAAAATATAAACAATTCAACAACCAAAAATCATCAAAACTAGACACATGTTTTAGGATCAATCTAATTGATCATGTGAGTAACCAAAAAAATTTTGTTTTAGAAAGTTAGCAGGTGTTTACCAAATTTCACGAAAAACACTCTCATATGTCAACCATTTATAAATTCATGTCAACAATCAACCGTCATCCTCACCAAAAGTTTACCTAAATCCATTAGGCAAGTGAGACATCATAAATATTTATTAACCAACTTGAAAGAGTTTGAGATGATAAATATTTATGAACCAACTTGAAGGAAGGTTGGAGTAACCATATAATTCCTATTTATTTATTTTCTATATTTAATGTTTTTTACTATTAATAATATTTTTCTAGAATATCTTTTTTTCATGTGAAGTTATAATCTCCCTGGTATAATATTTATACCAGCTATTACTTGAAGAATAAAATATAACAGTTTTCTCTATTTACTAGTATACATAGTAATTTTATAAAGTAAAAAAAAAAAGATATTTAATATTAAACACAGAAGGTTTAACTTTCAAGACTTCAAGTCAAATCTCAACTACTTCCTCCATAACCACTCAACCCTGTTACCCTCAATCACGGATCCCCTTACGTGAAATTTCACATAATAATGTCTTGTAGAAACTTTATGCCTATCTTCTTTTAATTAATGTCATGACCCAACTTTTTTAATATCTATAAAGAGCACAATAAACTAAAATAATATTCAATGTGGCAAGATCATATGAAATTTCATTAAGAATATCGACTCCCATCGTCCCATTATCCTCTAAGATTTTGATATGTAGTCCCCTATAATTAGATAAATAATCTAAAATTTCTTCAAAATTTTACTATAAATCCATAGGAAAACTCATTACTTCATAATATAATCCTATATAAAGATGTTCAAATCGCCTTTAACCGAGAACAGTTATTGACTTATTCCGGTTTCAATTAGAAACGAGTGTTCATCAGTTGAAGAAACAAAACTTTTTAGATTCAGTTACAGAAACTAACGTATAAAGTATTAATGCAAATAATACTTATTAGATTGAAAATAAATACTTGTTATATTACATTGATGAAATTGGGATGTTGAGATATACAATTAAGCTATGGAAGGAATTGTATTGTTAATGAAGAGAAAAAAAAACCTATTCCTTTGTGCCTATTTACTAGCTCTTCAAGAAAAAAAAATACAAATTACAACAAAAATGTCGCAAGGGGTATTTCACCTCATTCACTTTTAATCTCATCGATGCTGGCTTCTTCTGCTTCGTTGCATAACATTGCGGCTTGATTTGGAGAATCTGATTCGTTGCATAAGATTGCAGCTTGATTTGGAGAATCTGAAGCAGGTGGGTCAGGTGACTCGGTCGTTCTAACTTGCAGTCCAGTATCGCGTGCAAGGTCAATCCATTGCTGCAGCAATTAACCAAAAAATTAAACTTGAAAAATATTAGTCAAATTTAGAAACTAGGTGCAGATGAATGATTAACATCAATCTAAATTATGCTACCATGGTTTCTAAGTAATTCTCTCTTTAGAGGATTTAATTTTTTTTCAAATTACTTATCAAATTTACAAGACATTAGTTACTGGTTACTTTTTCAAATTACTTTTACAAGACATTGTTGTAATTGGCATTCCTCTAATGGAAAGGGAAAGAAAAAATTATACTTTATTTCTAAGAATTAGTGTTCAATCTAAACACTGAGCATTTTGAAAATGATCAAAAGCGGATATAAGATAAAATAAGAAAATATATCTTACCTGCGTTCCCCAGTAAGAATTGATTGTCCGTGATACAAAAGATAGCAAATTTACAAGAAAGGTTTGGGAAGCAAACTGATCAGAAATCCGATGCTCCACTACCCCAGCAATTATCTGAGTAACAAAAATACTGTAACATCAGTATTAATCCAGAAGGCCAGTTGCAGACGTAAATTGGATGCAAATTTACAGTACAAAATTATCACATAACTGATAGTAGAGCTATACAGTAACATGTCCAATTTTCAGAAAGAAGCAGACAGGGTGCAGATAAAAAAGTAGAAAGAAGAAAATTAAACATAGTATTTTTTTCGCAATACTTTTTTTTAGTATCCAGTGTTCCCTGAAGGATCCTAAGCTGCAAAGAGATGATAACGCAACTACAATACAGTACAATATTTCTAATCGTAGAAACACTACTAAGTGAAATACATTCTCTATAACCTTCTTTCCAGCACACTCTTTATTAATAGGCGAATTCATGTAAGTCTCACCAATTTGTGAATGTGATAGAACATTGAGTTCCCGTATGTGTTGTTGACCCAATCATTGAGCTCAATCCACAAAAGCACAGCTTCTAGAAGGTTGTAAAAGCTGTGGGATTAATAGTTAGTGGGGATATTCCTTGAATTTTAGGGAATTTTCTGTTATTAAAGAGAGGGAAGGGTAATGTGTAATGCATTAAAAAATTTTGTTAGAGTCAGTTAGGAGGGAAATTTTCTCTGGTTTAGGAGCAATTCTGCTCTGGTTTAGGTGTTCTTGGTATTCTGGATAAATTTTCTGTTTTCTCTCCCATTGCAAGAGTTTTAAGCTCAACCATTCGCAATAAATTCTGGTTCTTATCCGAATAGGGACTTGAACTCACATAATTTAGTGAGACTCTCATTAAATTCACAAATAATAGTGTATGTTGAAAAGAGTGTCACTAACATTTCTTTCAAATTATGCTACTGCAAGCACTACCTGAGTGAGTGGTTAGTAAGAAAATCACACCACAACTAGTTCTTAAAGATACAGGTAGTCCTGCTTTCAAATTTTCAAATTGCATACTTTTGTCCCGAGTCAATAGTCATATACTGGAAAAATTCAAGAAATCACAGCAACTCTTGCAACATAATGTCTAAACCATGAACTAGATAATGAAGATGACATTTCCTACAGAAACTAGGTCCAATTTTCTTTTAAATTTTTTATTACAACTGAAAAATTCAGTGAAACATTCAACTTCTCGAAATACCTGATAACGGAGATTTGCCGATATTCCAAGAAATAATGCATAAACAACTGCTGTTTTGAGTATTGGTGACCTTGCAATCTGTTGGTCAGTGATAATTGCTGGATTAAGTAATTTACGAACTGCAAACAGAGAGTTTGATGAAGCCACAGCTCCAATACTTGAAATAAATCCAACACCAGCGAGTTTTAAACCACCAAATAAAACTGATGCAATCCGATGATTGAGGTCCCAATTTGTTCCCACTGGATTCTTTTGAAATGCATTGTCTGGGATGGAGCCAAGAAGTCCCATTAGAGAACTAATGTTATCAGACGCATTCATGTCATCAGCATAGGAAATGAATGATAAAGTTGGTGCAGGAAGCCACACTGTAAAGAAATCAACAACTGATCCTCTGACAGAGTCCGTAATAACATAGTCAAGCTCTTGAAAGAAGTTTTCTTTCCTCTTTAGATACTGTGCTAATACCGTAGTTGTTACTGAGATTCCTTCTTCTATGGCTAATCTATACAAGAATTTGGGATCTGCCAACAATCTTTCCCTGAAACCCTGTATCAAGAAGAACCAGATGGAGAGTGATGAAATAATCTCATGATTAAAAGTAAAGGGTTCTATTTTAAAAATACAAATTTACCTGGAAACGGTGAGTGAGTTCTGAAAGTAGAGGATACTTCTCTAGATCAAAGAAGTTCTGCAGCACCTCTGGTGATACTAAACCAAGATCAATTCCCTTTTGAAGATCCTGAAGTCAAAAGGAAATATAATCATGTACACGACCAATAATGGCAGATACCATCCTGTCTAAAGGATGATTACATTGAAGAACTAGAAACATGCCAACTACCTAATCATCGGATGTTGCAATCAATTCAAATTAGTATCACTACCAATTGCTCAACTATACCCCCTAACCGCTTGGGATCAGTATGTGTATTGTATACCAGGTTATAGAATTGAGATACTTCTATTTTAGAGAAAAATTAAATAAACAAACATATGATATTTCATTAACACAACTAAATTAACATCCCAAAAGTTTCAAGTCTAAATCTTTATATCATATATTGTTGTGCAATAAATATCAACTCAACATTTATGGAAAAGAAAAATAGGAGGAAAAAAAGTGCTACTAAATGATCAGTATTCCAGTACAATTCTTCACAACAGCAGGCTGGGATGCATAATCCGTGACAATTAACAATTCAACAAACAGAAATATCAATGCTAAATGATAGTGAAACACCAAAGTTATATGGAATACAGAAAAGTAATTCATAAAATGCACTGATATGTAATAAGATACATAGTAACATGTAAAATCTCTCTATTTTTATCATCAAAATGAACAATGAGAGAAAATAAAGGGCTAAAATTTGGAAGAGGAAATCACAGAGAAAGAAAAGTAGAAGTTAAGCTAATTAGTGAATGTATTGGCTGGCTAACCTGGGGGAGGGCATCTCGCCGCTGCCCGGCAGCATTCATAACCCGAGCAATCTCAACCCGATCAAAGCAATTTCTGCTACAGGGTCTGGCTGCAGAATACCACAAGAAATCAGCAACAGGAACCTCTCCCTCGCTGCGAATGAACTGTCTTTCTGGGTCAAGTAATATAACTACTTGATTTTTCTTTTGCATTTTTCTTGAAATTCTTGCAGGCACTCCAGTTCCTCTAGATCCGTATGTGACATGGCTTGCACCAGTCACAACTATCAACATACCAGTAGCCCCTCCATCAAGCATACTGCGTAAGATGATCTGGGACATAGTATACTCGTCAACTACTCTAGCCTGTGCAGATAGATATGAGCTTGGACCAAAAGGAAACGACAGATTTGGAGTATTATCCAGTGATGATCTTCGCGACATAGAAGTAAAGCCTGATATGAAGCCAGAACCAGCTGGAGGTGAGTATAAATTACGTTCAGCCTTCGTTAGCCCACTAATTCCTTCTGCTTGGACAGTCCTTAAGATCTGTCGATGAGAAAATTGTCAATTTTTAAAAATCATCTTTGCGTGAGTTGACATAGAGATACAAGATTTAACCTTGATCTTGCTTAGTACAGAGATACAAGATTTAACCTTGATCCTACTTAGTGGAATTGGTTATAAAGATCTACTAAGAACATACAACTCTATCAAAACCCAAACCAAAATTTAGTAAAACATCAAATGCAAGGTCAATTTAATGCTCCAACATGGCAACATGCCATCCTTCATTCTTTCAACATATTATCTGATCTTCTTTTTGCATCATGATATTACCATACCACCTGAGGCAGGTTTCCAAAATCATGTTTTTTGGATTTGGATTGTCTCCGGTGTTAATTTCACCGGAGGACATAAAGTGCACATCATCACCCTTGATTCTTTTTAATAATATTTTTATTGTATTTGATGAAAAAAAATGAAAGGCTGTGATTTCACTGCACAAAAACTTCACGGGAGACATACTGCTCCCATGTTTTTTACCCTAGGAAAAATATTTTATTAAACCATGAGTATTATGAATTGAATATTTGAATTCATTTCTAATTTGGGGAAATCAGGGTTTATCTTACATACACTAGGTTTTTCTTAACAATTTACATTAGTTTGAATGAAAATTTGAACACACCTCCAGTGGAGTACCACAAGCAACAAGACGAATTCCATTTTCACGACAGTAACTAAGAATAGGTTCATACTCCTGCCACCGTCCAGGCGGCCAATGCGCCGTATAAGTCTTTAAGGTTTCTCCATCTATCCTGTATGATAGTCAAATTCTTTTATAAGTAACAGAGTTGATAACTGAATTGTTATTTTTGTAACAAGACTTTCTACAAAAACTAAAATGCATACTTTTTATCCATATACTGATTGAGCGGTTCCTGGAGATCAGAGGGAAAGGCTTCAATAGCCAAAGATAAACGCTTATCAATCTCAACACAACGCTTATGCAAATTCTTCACAATCTCAAGCTCCAATTCTTTATCATCTCGAACCGGAACCTGTTCAGCTTCCCCCAAATAAACAACCCTAGCATTCATCAACTTCTCCCACACTTTCCCTTTCTCTTTCCCTATCGCCAACGGTTCACCAATCGCCGTCGCATCGTAAATCCTCGAAGTTATCACTTCCTCCTCTATCTTCTTCACCTCCTCCTGTTTCACAACCGTTACCTCCACCGGCGTCACCTTTTCCTCCTCCTCCGCCCTCGTCGACGCCGCAGATAGCAAGAACGAAGCGCCAACGGCTAGAAACGGCGCCACCAGCACACCTCGCCGGTTGCTTCGAGCTCGAGACCATTCGGATTCACTCACTTCATCGCTCCCGTCGTAGTGTTCGGTTTTCCGAGCCGCGATTATACGGTTGGAATGGGGAAGAGATAGGTTGAAACGGCGGCGTTTAGGATGAGTTTGGGAAGGCGTGGCACGTGAGAGAGTTGAGCGGTGAAAGTGAGTCACGTGCGGCGTGGCAGTGCCGAAGGAAGCCTGAGTGTTGGGCTTCATTTCCCTTCAACTGTTTTTTTTTTTTTCATTCAGCGACACAACAACAAACAAGGATGTAATACATTTTTTGTTAAGGAGAATTAGTACAACCTTGTACTAATGTTTATGTTTTCATGGCCACTAAGGCTTGATAATTTTCTGACGTAAAATTGAGAAAGCCACATATTTGGAATTGTAGTTGTGTGGATAATGTGGGTGTCAACTGTCAAGTGGGAATTGAGCATTGTTGTATTTTGCATTGTTTTGGAATTTTGTTAGGAGATAAATATGATCTGAGTCAGATGTGACTCATCTCTTATTGGCTTACATATGGTAAATAAACTCGTTTTTGTCACGCTTCGGATGGTCCCGTTCCGAAATTACGGGGAAAACCCGATTTAATCGGGGGCGAGTGCGGAAAAAATATAATTTTTATTTACGGGTTTAGAGGTGGATGATGCTAGTATTTTTTCTACATCCGTCCCGCATCCGTCAATTAAATTTAATTTATTTTTAATAATTTTATTATTTATTTACACTGTTATAATATCATGTTTATTAGAATTATTATTTAATTTTTTTGAAAATATAATTTAAATAAAAATATCAAATAAAAAATATTTTTAAAATAATTAACTATTTAGTTTAATTATTGATTTTTATTTTTATTGGAAAAAAAGTATAAATTTAAAGAAATTAATATTTTATTCGGACGGGTATAGGATAAATGCGGGAAAATCCATTTCTTATTGGAGGCGGGGACGGGAGAACAAATATTAGCTCCGATTGGGTTTGGAGGCGGGGACGAGTCTGAATCTGAGTGGTGGTGTAGGTCTGGGTATGCTTAAACCCGCCCCGTTGTCATCCCTACATACATATAGGGCTTGACAAGCTGCAATGTCGGACAAAATTCAATTTCCCTATAATTTCAATAACTTATACATTCATTCAAGCAAAGATTTAACTAAATGAATAAAATTCAAGGTATAAAGATCTAGTTTTTTAAGCTACAAACTTTAAAACGTAGTACCAATAGAATATAATTAATCTTTAAAGAAAAGTAAAATTAATGAAAATGCATTGTATTATATAACCAAAAATTAAAATGCATCCTAGTTTAACTAAAATAGTTCAGAGAGATTGTGAGAGGCAAAAAATTTCTGGAATTTGTGTGTATTTCTTATTATCTAAGAAGTTTGAGTATTTATAGAGATTTTATGGGTCTATCTAGCCAATGATTTTCTCAAGTTTCCTCAACAGAAACGTGGGGGTGGAGAAAACTAATTCTTTCTTGAATCATGGGGAAAATGGCTTCCCTCGTTGATCTGCCTCCTTTAACTGTTATTTCTCAAACACCTCATAAATTGTATTTGACAAGTAAGGGCTCATGGATTTCAGACTCAACTCCTATCAAGCAACTCGTCGTACACTTTGGGCAACCTCCTCACATCGAGTGCTCAGACCCATTTCAGACCACTAAACTCATTTTGGGCGACTAAGGTCGCTTCTGACATGGACTACTTATCATGGATCATCACTATTTAAATTCAATGAAATTATCTCAGTCCACAGTTCTTCAATCATGAGACTTTGGATAAGATAAAGTGATTTAATTCTAGTATATTGCCATCCTAAAATTCCGTGAATTTCTCAAGAAAAATATTAGGAGAGCCCCTGAAGTGAAGCACAATGGGAGTCCCTCAAGCGAACTTTAGGTGGATCCTTTAAGTGAAGCATGCGGCAAATTCCTCAAGCGTCACCTAAGACACAAGTGGGGCATTAAATGTCTCTTATGATGGATGTGTCTTAGGAAGTCAAGATTGCACAAGATCATTGGTTTGTTCACATGTGTCATGACACGAGATGTAACGCCCTGTTTTCATATTTTTGTTTTTAATTAAGTTAAAATTGGTTTTATTTTATTACTGGTGTGCTTGGGTATTTCTGTAGGATTTATGAGAATGGTAAGAATTATTTAAAATTTTAATTGATTAAAATAATAGAAAAATGGATTTATGAGATTTGGATGGAAATTAAAATTATTGAAAAAAATAAGCGAAAGTGGTGAAAATAAAGATAAGTTAGGGGAAGAGTGTTGTTCTTGCGTAGGAACAATATTTGATTAGCTTTCCTCCGAAAATAAGGAAAGTCACGAAAGTAGGTTTTGTAAAGTGGTTGGGGATTTGGAAGCTACGTCAGTGATACATATTGTCTCAAGAATGGATGTTTTGCTTATCCATCTTGTGGGAACCCCTTATATAGTATTCCTTTTGCGCCATCAAGAGCCTCTGTTAATGCGTGACTCTTGGGTTTCATAACTGTATAACTGTCGCCGAAACCATGAATGAAGGTGTTTCAAAGCTACATAACGTTGGAGTAAATGTGCCGGCGGAGGTTACAACCATTAATGAATTGAGTTGATGACCGACTATGGGTAGATGGATCTCGGCTGCCAGCATTATCCGGGTTGACGATCACATATGGGCTACTACCCGGAGGTGTGATGGTTGTCTGGTACCCTTAGTCGAGTTACACCTCCCCACGAGTACCTTTTACCATTAGAATCAATCACCAGTTTTATTATCCCTTCAGCCGGTTTCACTACCCGATCAGGATTAATATTTTCGGGATGTAAATAAGCCCCCCGATTTCGAGTCCTTTTTTATAAGGACGTAGTGTTTGGTCATGAAAGGCACGAAAAGTATTGAGGTCAACACCGGGTTGCAACCTGCTTTTTATCCTCGCATACGTGGCACGAAATGAAGAGTCATACGCTTTCTCTTTCCTAGAGTAATGGTGACTTTTATTTAAACCTTTGTTCATTGGGTGATGTTTCCTTCCCCTAGTGCACTACCCATAGGTATTTATAAAACCTCTCTTCCAAACTTTGCTTTTACATCTCAACATTTTTCAGAAACGCTTCGATCTCTAGAGAAAATTTATACTTCCCCAGGCGCTCATCAATTTCCAAGTGTTCTTCTCTCTCCTCTTATTTTTCACTTTTTCCCTTTGTTTTACCTTTTTAGAAAATGGTCATGATAAGAGAATGTGATGATAAGGGAAACATTATAAAACCCTCGACTACTGAAGAGAGGAGGGAGTTATGGGATCAATGCATGCGGGAGATTAAGGGTGCTTTAGGTCAAGAGGAGTTTAATCGAATCACGGAGGAGGTTTATGGTTATACCTCCTCCTCTTTGAGTGATTCTGACTATGATTCTTCCTCTTCAGGTTCTATAGATATTTTGATGGAAACATCTGCCCCTTTGATCTTGAGGTTATGGGCTACAAGAATAGTGTACTTGATGATACGAAGATCGCCAAGATTTTCTCCCTAATGAATGTCTCCTCAACTGAGGAAGAATGCGAGGTTATCCTAGAGTCTTGTGTCTCAGGAGAACGTGTATGTATACTTTGCCAGAAGGCCACTGATGAAGATTTCTTTTACTTTTATACTGGTGTTTTGGAAGATTTCGGAATCCGCATACCTTTCTCTGCATTCGAGGATGACATAATGAAGGTCGTGAATGTCGCGCCTTCGTAACTTCGTCCTAACAGTTAGGGCTTAATAAATGCCTTTGAAATAGTCTGTAAGGCGATGAACATCATCCCTATAGTGGGTTTGTTCTTTTCCTTTTATGAGGTAAAAGGGGCCGAGAAGCTTTCTTGGATCCAAATCAACGGTCTTCCCCACATGAGTTTTTCCCAAGTGTATACCTCCAACTATAAGGGTTTCAAGGAACGGTTCCTGAAGGTAAAATGTGGACCGAGATGCCCCCAGGTTTTGTACACCTTGGGAGAGTGTTGGCTCTTGAATTCGACACCCACGATATATTGGCCTTATGGGCCAAAAATAGAGAAAATAAAGCCAAGCAGGAAAATGCTTCGACGAATGGAGAAACTTAGAGAAAATATATGAGTTACAAATTGGTCTTCGACCAGACATCACCATCAAACCTTCGACTGGAAAGGTCCTGTGACCTTCGACTGGAAGAACAAACCCTCGTGTCAGCACCAAGGACGAAGGATATTTGAATTTGAAGATTAGAGGGAAATGCAATTCGCCAGCAGTTAAGGGAAAGCGACGTGGAAGGAAGATAAAGGTCGAGGGACATGCAGAAGACATGTATCTTCATCCTAGAGCAAAGCAACCCCTCGACGGTTACATAATTTTAGTATAAAAATAGGAAGTTTGTGTAGATTTTTTCCGTGTGTTCAACCTATTGTGCTAGTTACTCAACATTATTCAAGTACCCGTTGTGTGTGAAAGAATAATTGAGAATGTACATTGGAAACACAATTTTCTATTAATAAAGTCTTTTTACATTGCTTTGATCTTCTTTTGAAAAGTTTACGTTTCCTACATCTTTACTTGTACTTCTATTTACTTTCTTACATTCCAAAAAACCATAAACACCATATCCTTGGTCGAACGTGCGTTCTTCCTAGATATTAACTTTCACATCAAACCAACATAAAAGTTAGCATATGTTTTAGGATCAATTTGATCGATCCCGCGAGTAACCAAAAGGACTTTTACTTTTTGGAGGATCAGCGGTTGTTTACCAAAAACAATGGTAAACAAATTGGTACACCTTGTGGGACCGTGCTAATTTGTATCATCTGTTTGTTCATGTTATTGCTTTTCTTTTATACGTATACAGCGTTGCATGTTATTAAGAAGTGGTAGAATAACCAACGAGTGTACTGTTAGGAAGAGAAATAGAGAAAGTAGAATGGCTAATAAGCCAAATCATAGAGAAATACCTCCACCAAATACTACTGGAACAACGGTTGTAACTACCGTTGGAAAAAATATCTCAACTTCTGTTGGTTCGGTACCAACGTTAACCACAAATCAAACAGGACCCATACTTTCGTATATAGGTTCTAGAGGTCCATTAGGAACACCCCCACCAAGGGAAAATCCAGGATCTCGACCGTGCTTTCCCCCAGGATTTTCGACAGCCTGGATGGGTCGAGAACAGCCATATGGTATGCCAACCACTGAAATGGCTAGC